GTTGCTATCCATCGTGGCGCTAGATGTGGTGTGGTGTCATCTAGAAACTTTTGATATCTCTGGAAAAAGAGTTATACCATGAAAATTACTTGTGAGTATAGAGAATATCACATGGGCTCGCGGAGATACGGATTTTATCTTCGAGTGTTAAAAAGATCTTTCACGAGTGAGCGTAACTAACGGAGAGATTTTCAACACGAGAAGATAAAATTCGTATCTCCAAGTGACCATGTAATATTCTGTTTATCATATAATACATATGAAAGCAAATTATGTCCTAAAAATACCTTTTTTCTTACTTCCACTATATAGAGAAACCTCGAATGTGTTATTTTCACTAGTGAAAATAACATGTTATTTCACTAGTGAAATTATCAATTTTACGAAATGGAGAAATATAGGTATTTCAATTTTATGATAAAATGATTTATCACATGGATATCTAGCTTCAATATTCATTATAACTCAACAACAAATTTTTCTCTGCTCGCATTGATGGAGATTTGTGCTAAGGACATGATGTGATAGTGGCTAAACCACAGGGGGGTATTCTTTCTGTATAAGAGCCCATGACCTCTGAAAATTCTGTTGTTGAATAATAAGAACAAAAGGGTGGTAAAAAAATCTTGGGCATTATGATCAATACATACAAAATGTACTTGCCTTTGGAAACTGGATGTTCCGAAAAACTGCATACATGTACTTAGTCAACTTCAAACAATGTTCTCAGATGACTATTTTTTTTCCAGAACATCCAGTTTCCGCAGGCAAACCTACTGTAGGGTAATGCCTGCTCCATTCAAGTGCTGTTTAAATAGGACTATGGGGCAACTAACTAACCTGTGAAATGGTGGTAAAAAACTTTGTAATTATGTTTGGTTGAGAATGCAGGGTGTCATCRTCAGAAGCTTCCATTCTATTGCTGAAAAACACAACAAGACAACTCTYATAAACAAATGTAAAAGACGTCAGGCTGCAGTGACTAATACTTGAGTATCGAGTACTRTTTTAAGTCTTTGTTTTCGCCTCAAAATCATGCAACATAGGAAATAAAGACTATAACTTTAACACTTTTTTGCTCACAGCCAGGAACACTTTGCAAAGCAATAAGGCATGTGGCTAATTTTTAGTTCTAAAAGCACATAGAAGCAGATCAAAAATGCTTAGTGGACTCATTGGGATAATATCATTGAGTTAATCCATTATAATAGCTCAAAAACAAAAGATTAAAAGTGTTTTTGTCATGCATGCAACAAGAGTATTAAGCACTTTCTGG